ATGTATATGAAGATTTTCCATTTTCATTAAATCATCATCATTCTTCATGAACTAATGATATTAATATAATTTTTTTTTCTGTCATTTTTTTCTTAGTCTGTGGCTTTTTTATCTTATTGCATTTCATATTGAAAGGTTTTTTGAATTAAACAGGTAAATACAGTGCTGGCCATAAGTCCCGACCCCCCCTAAAGTAGTTCAATACTTCAAGCTATTGGCTTGAATGTTTAGCTGCATATGTCTAGTGAAAAATGCTGATCGGCAACACCACCCCGACCTTGACTTAATTTACTAGAACAGAGTTATGAATGAAATACTATCCTTACCTAAGATTAGTTGCATCTTGGCTATAGAAGCACTTTAGATGCTGCGGAACCCATCATTTGAAAGCCTGAGTTCTCAGCTTTATCCAGTAAAGTTTTCATCGAAAAAGTCTTTCAGATTGCTGAGATATCACACTGTCAGTGATTGCTAGTGAAATCTCAAATCTGGTTATTTTCAATTCGTCACGATGAAAAACATGTATAGATCATCCAATTCAATTGAAAATTTTTTCTCCGTATGCTCATAGACTCACGTATGCCTCCACAAAGTTTCAGAATTACAACATCTACTAAACTCATAATACAATGATTTAATCATCCCACCACCGAATCCTTTGCCAAACACTCAAATCTCAGTGAATTCAATTGTCCTTTCTACCTCATAATGTTTACATCAGAAACAATATTTATCACTAGCAATATACTCTATAAACTATTCAGTAGTGGAAAAATATCATTTTTCTTTCACACGAGTTAAACGGTGCTAATCAATGATATAACAAAAAAAGAAAAATTTTTTCAAATCAACATTTCTTATTGTGTTGATGAATTAATGATTGACTTAATTTTTGAACTATTGTTTGTAATCATTCTTAATGTTTCTAAAGTTTACTCGAATTGAAAATGAACATACTATACTTATATTTCTTGTTCTTTTTAGAAGTTTACAAATGTAGAAATAATGGAAAAGAAAAACACTTCAACTACTACATTTAGTACATTGTATAGTCACCATTTGAGTCAATTAAACTTTCGATACGGCGATTCATACTAAGCATAAGATTTTCCGCCAGTTCCTTCGGCAACAGACGCCATTCTTTATGAATCGCGTTGATTAATTGCTTCATATTTGACGGTTTTCTCATTGATATTTTCAGTTTGAGAATCGACCAAAGGTTTTCCATCGGGTTCATGTCGGGACTGAAAGATGCCCATGGCAGGTCTTTTATACCATGTTGCACCTTCCAGTCCCTCGACAATTTAGATCGATGTTTCGGGTCTTTATCTTCCATCAAGACCCAATCTTTATTTCGTCCAAAATAATGTGTAGCTGTTGGTAACAATCCATTTTGATATAAATGATTACATAAAAAAAGACTTTTAAGATTTTCTTTAAAGCATATAATTGTACCAAAACCTTTGGAAGTCATACACCCCCAAGCATTGACCTTCAAAGGAAATTTAACCGTTCTTCTAATGGTACGATGACCTGGCAGTTGCCAATACATACGTCGAACGGTATTCAAGCGAAATGTTGTTTCATCTGTTGCTATAACTTTACACCAATTTTGATTTTTAACTAATTGTGCCCATTCTAAACGATCTTGCTGGTGTTTAAATGACAGGAGAGGTTTTGATAATGGTGATGAATATCGAAGTCCAGCTTCCCGGAGCCTTCGACGGACTGTTCGTTCACTCACATGTACGTTTTCATTCTGTACATGATCTCGAACTTTTTTGCTAGTTGGTTCTTCTATATCAAATGTTGTTTCAACAATCAAATCGTCCTCTTCTTCTGTTGTTATCCGACGACGACCTTCTCTTGGTTGATCATCAAGACATTTGTCTTCTTTCCATCGAGCTAACCATCTTTTAACAGTTGACGTACTGCATTGAACAATTTTTGCTACTTTTTTTATCCCAAAATGCGGTCCATATCGATGTTTGACCAAGAAGACGATTTCATATCTTTTATGGATAGGAAGTGACATAATTTATCAGTTTGAAATTTTTCTTTACAAATCGAAAGTGTAACAGCTATAGTTGAACGAGAGAAAGTGAACAGCTATAGGATAATTTTTTCTCAGACGGATGAAAAAGAGAAATAATGCGAGCACATGTTCTATTCTAATGTTAGGATCGCATGTCTTATACTGCGGTGTCAGATATTATAGATATAACTTGTACGCTGTCTTCTTGTTGCTCTCGTAAAGAGAACAGAAATATATACACGTCTTCATCTTTATTCCTTATCTTTATTACGGCATTCTATCCATATGAATACTCTGCGATTAAGCATTTTCTCCTTAACGCATAAGTAGTCTCGCTAATATACAAATACTAACAAGTTAGAAAATACATTTTAAAAAGTTTTGATTATTCTGATAGAGTCTTGATAAACTTTTGATATTTATTTTTGTATTGATTCAGAAAGCTTATGTTTATATTGGTATTTTCTAGAGAAAATTACAAAACAATAGTTCAAAAATTAAGTCAATCATTAATTCATCAACACAATAAGAAATGTTGATTTGAAAAATTTTTTCTTTTTTTGTTATATCATTGATTAGCACCGTTTAACTCGTGTGAAAGAAAAATGATATTTTTCCACTACTGAATAGGTTATAGAGTATATTGCTA